TACCAATGAGTAAGACTGAACTAATCAAAAGCACACATAAAGCCACATGTAAGCATGTGTTGCAACCCATTTCTACACACACACTACAATTCCTCGTGCGTGCTGTTGAGCCTTGGTAGTGTGCTAGTGATGATATGCTTAAAATACATTTTTGAGACCTTCATATGATTATGTTTATTAAGCAAAACGTATTCTGGTCACACCAAATGGACAGTGATGATTAAATGATAGAAATGTTTGTTTTGTTATCCACCGCCCGAAGCACACACTCTTTCAGTGTTGAAAAGCAGATGGCTGTCAGCTTTTTAGTTTATCCCATTTTGCAAACAACTCACCTGTGCCATCCTAATCTAACCAAAACAGGTCTTCCTTGCATTCTGACACCCAAAAAATCAACAAGCAAAATAGAACCCATGAACAATAACAGAACTGCAACCCTTCTACAGAGAACATCCTCTGCCCCAAGGAAGCAAGGTTCCCTTAATCCTGCGCCTTCCATTTTCCATCACACAAACATATGTAGCAATATACCCCAAGGTCACCTCTCACATGCACATATTCTTTCCTGCCCTCAAAAGCATAATGAAATGGGGAATCCAAACACAAACGTTCCACAGAATCTGGAGAACTAGAGAAATGCTAAAGGATAAAAAAGGGTGAGTTTTCATGTCTGTTCTTTGAATCTGATTGACCTGCATTCACCTCCTCCCCTGAAAACACACATCCCATATCAGAGCACAAAATGAGTGAAAACATGATTTCACGGTGAAATGTCCACAGGTCACAGGCTGTGGTTGCTGCTGCTTTAATTAATATAAGTTCTAACAGTAATAAATGGGGCGGGGGGGGGAGGGAGAGAGAGAACCAGTCCGATAACAAAACTATTAAAAACTAGGCACGGCAAAAGGGTGGGGGGACTATTAAACCTTCCACGCCAGTGAAGGCAGCTTGGATTTATGAGGACAGGGTTCCTTATTTCCAGAAATGACCTATGATCAGCATCACCTCCTCTGCATAATCAAATAAAGTCAAACACTGACATGTGGAAATCTGATTTGATCACTTTATGTACACACGCAAAGATCTTTGCTTTGCTACTGTCTTGAGCTTTTGAAGGAAGGTCCTCTCACACACCTTCACTCTAGTTTACAGAAATCCTGTATTAGTGAACTCTCAAAGCCTTATCATGTTTTCTGTCATGTAGATCTTGGTTTTCTCAATAGTGTGGCTAATGGAAATGTAGCAAATGGATCCAATCATAGCATCTATGTGTCTCACAGAGACACTCTGTGTTGAATTTCCACTTATCACCATGTAACTGTAGGGTGAGCACCATCTGCCAGCCTCAGTGTTATGGGACTGCAATTCCCATCATCTTGCAGCATTGGCAATATCATCTAAAACTGGAGAGAGTTACTATTAAACATCATAAAGGCTGGCCAGAAGATATGGCCTCTCCACCCCTGATATAACTGGAAAAGAAAAAGAAGTCCTGTCAACAAAACAAAACACACTTGGTCGATATTAATGGCTGGACAAGTTACCTAGTTGCCAGAGCCTTGAGTCATGTGTCCACATTTTATCTGGACAGGGTAGTCTGATCATCAAAAACACCTTCTCGCTGTTTTTAGGGAGCCAGACTAGACATCTTTTGGATCATCTATTCTCATGTGCCTGTTTATTGGACCTGGTGCTCTTTACCAAGTGTGAAGTACCCACCTCATAACAGGAGGAATGGGGGTGAGAGCAGAATTCTGGTTGAAAGGGGGGGGAAAGCAAAATTACCCATGTCCCAAGAAGGAGGTAACTGCATCCCAGGTGCCACCATCCAACTTAATCATATGATGGTCTAATTGGTATAAACACAATTTGGAAAATGAGCAGCAACTTGGGTATCAGATTACAGGAGCTAGAGTCCAAAACGGTAACTTCAAAACGATGGTTATGAGGCCAGTCACCTGCATTGTTAAATTATGTCCTGCTTCCAATCTGAATCTGAAGTCCTCTTAATGAGATGCCCTCAGGAAAAGCAGAAGCATTTCTTCTAACCACGTTTCAAATCTAACAAGCAAGGCCCTCCACAGCTTTTGAATTACAACTCCCATAGGTTCCAGTCCACAAGGCAAGTGTTTGGAGATGGTCAGAATTGTAGTCTAAGCCAGGAGAAGGGCACTAGGTGGCCCACCCTCACCCTACAAACATTTGCAGGACAGCTTGCTTGATCTCCTTGGTGAACTGCAAAGAAGTTTATGGCTCACAGTGCAAGGAAACACGCACTTCCCCCTAAACTCATTCCAAGAGATGACTAATGTCTTGCACCCACATACAAAAGACAGTTACATTGCATATTTACTAAAAGGGAAGGGACTGGCCCAAGCACTCCCAATAACCAATGCTAGAAGTCCATGCCAAATGCCAAGCTCACTTTGCACCCCAAAGCAACCAGGCCTCACTCAAAAGGGAGGTGTGCCTGCTCTTTGGCACTCAACAGGATCTAGCCCTCAAGGAAAGGACCTGCCCTTCAAAGAAAAAAAAAACAATTAAGATATTGTGTGTCTTTCATAACAAGACAGCTCAGAGCAGTGCAGAGTTTCTTCCTAATGAGAACATACTGCATGCCATGGCACATGCGTTTTATCCATGCATCTCCAAGCCTTTTCCAAATATAATGTTGATTGATTGATTGATTGATTGACTAATGAGTTTATCCTCCACCCATTCATTTAAAACATCTCACTTCCAATCTATTCTTCTACAGGAAAAATACCCAGTTAAAACATAACAAGTCACCACTAAAAAGGGAGGAAGTGACTGTTAATTTCATAATGCTTTAAAGGAAACACAAGCTTTCCTCTACTTGATCCCAATTTCTCTTCCTAAATAGGAAAAAGAGCTGTCACCTAAATCAGATGCTTTGAATATGGCAGCCTTCTTGGTGCTGAGATCAAAACTGGTGACTCCTTTAAAGTTTTTGTTTTGAGTATGCACTGCTTTTCACTAGGACCGTCCACTAATTAGGTCTGGAAAAATCCTGAACTACTAATCCAATCATTTCAGTTTGGACCAATTTATACAAGATCTCTATTGATGTCGAACAGCCAGATTCAGTTCTGGAGCAAAGCAAGGCAAATTTAGAAATCTGTTTGTGAGCAGGCACAAATTATTTCAGCTTTTTACTTCCTTTCTTTAAAAAAAACAAGCAAACAAACTTTAAAAGTGCTCCAGTACATACATCTGTATGAAATATGGTCAGTTTACTCCCCCCCTTTAGGGTGTATTATGTCTCCAAATTTCATATACATCACCACAAGAACAGAGAAAAGTTATATCCATTTTTGTTTTCCACTGCAAGGCAACCAGAAGTCAAATCAATCTCAACATCAAACACAAACTGAATTGGTTGAGGTCACTTCAGACTGAATCAGAAGTTATGCAGAAACTTCACATTGGCCTCCAAATCCGATCAGAGGCCAAGAACAGCCCTCATTTCCACTGTCCATTGAGAACTTTACCACTTACTGTTTTGGGAGCTATATTGTTTTCTGTTCTAACAACAATGGCAGAGACATCAGACCTTGCCTGTTTGTTTATTAATTCACTCCCTCACAGCTCCTCAGGCCTTCCCTCTCCCAGAAGCTCAGCGCAGGTTACACTATTTTATCACACTTCCTCATTAATGCAAATATATAAAGAAGGTTAAGGAGAAAGCAATTCTGGATAGGGAGTGAAAGCCACCTATTGAGCTTCGAGGCTGAGCAGAGAATCTGAACTTGACATTCCAAGGCCCAGACAGACACTGGACACCAACCATGTTCTTAAACTCCCGTCAGATAAGGAGATCTGGGTTCTGGAGGATTTTCACACAGAATGATTAGACCAAGTGGTTGCATGAGATTCTTGTTGAACTCTCGTGTCTGATTACCTAATCCCTCTAAATGCACACTGCCTTACAGGCTAACCTTCTGACAGATTATCATCCACAATCATAGCACAGGATGATCATTACTAAGCCACAGCAGAGAGTTCTACGTAGGATAAGGACCAAGTTTAATTACAGGTGTGACTTGGGGAAATAACTGAAATGTTCACCTGTTCCTTGCACACTAGAAGCATCACAGGCCTTCTTCGAGAAGACAGGGGCAAGTCCTTCAGTCTTCGAAATAAATGAGTTCAGTAATCAACAGTTTCAAAAGGCCTACCACTTCCTTGTCTCCACCAGGTTGGCTTTTTGTTCCATCCATGCCCAGACACAGACTTGACTGTACCATGAAATCTGTGTGGGGTTACTCTATTCATGGGATTGGGAGTCAGGACCCACTGGGTTCTGTGTTCAGCTCTGAGAGGGAAAATGATCTAACTAGCCAGTTAAAGCAAAGTCACCAGGGAGCATCAATCTCTTCCTTTCGTCTAACCCCATGCCTAAATCATATCCCTGGTTGGGTACATATTCCTCGCTCAACTCATAAACTGACACTGATGAATGGAGGCTCTCCCCCAAAAGCTTTCATGTCAAAGCAAAATGCCCTTTGGCAAGAATTTCACGATTATGGATGGGGCGAGAGAATATGTTTGCAAAAGGAGATGACAGCCCGGATTATAATGTGCTGTGGGGGAAGGACACAGGGGTGGGGGACGGGGTGGGGGGGAATGAAATAATCCTGATGACTATAACCACTCATAAAAGAGAGAAATCTGCTTTGACACTACATTCCTGGGAGACTTGTAATTATAGAAAGCACTCCCAAGTGACATCCCCTCCGAGCCCTTGGGGGCTTTGAGGAGCTGCATGAGAAGGGGATGTGTAATTAATCTCCCTTTAGTATGGTGAGGATGGAGAAGCTGGCGGGTCGGGGGGGGGCGGCGGCGGAGAAGAGGGGTCGTCAAATTCAAGCTGTGTGGTAGAGGTCTCACCCACCATGGACAGAGAGGATGAGGATGAGGAGCGAGGGGAGCTAAGGCAGGCCAGAACGAAAAGAGGGGCCAGGGAAGGGTCTTCTTACCTTTGGCTCCAGAGGCTGAGGAGAAGCAGAGGGCAGAGCCAAAGAAGCAGGGTCCGTCCCATCTTGGCGGCTGGGAGTTGTGTTGTTGTTTTTTTTTCCCTCTCCACCAGCGGCTGTCTCCTCTTGTTGGAGGGCGAGCGGGACGGGAGCCGGGTCGGTCGTCGCGTCTCCTCGCACTCCTGTCACTTTCTTCCCGCCGTCCTAGGACCTCATCGATTGCGTCGGGTTGGAGAGGAGAGCGGGGTGGGGTGGGGTGGGGGGCTTTAAGTGATAACTCTTTACCAAGATTTGCAAGCCCGAACTGCAGGGAAGGTCCTTCCTCCCCACCCTCTCCCTCCTTCAGCAGGGCAGCAGCTGGTTGTGGACGAGGCGTCGAGGATGACCTGTTGGGGAAGGCAGGGGCAGCGGAAGTGGCAGCAACTGCAGGCTCCACCGGTCTCGTCGCAGCTCCATGCGGACCGGTCCTGCTCCTCCGCCCCCATCTAAGAGCGCCGGGAGTGAAGGGAAGGGAAGGAAGGAGGGTGGCAAAGAGCACCCCCTCCTTTCCCGATCTGTACACACCCTCTTCGCCTTTGCAACTTTTGATCCCCCCCCCCAACAAAAACTCCACCCGGCTGCTGAAGTTCCAACAGGGCTACCGCCCTGCAGGGCAAAATCTATCTGGGCAGGGCAGCCTTTCTTCGGGGGGCAAGGGTGGGGTCACGCTGTTGTGCCTAGTAGGCACCGGCGGCTCCCCGGGGAGCCTGCCCCAGCACCCCTCATCGCGGCTGCTCCTTCCCCGGGGGACCCGTGCCCGTCCCACCGCGCGGGCCAGCTGGCGATCGAGGCGCCGGACGGGGCGAGCGCGCCGGGCAGCTGCCCGCGATTACAGCCGCGGCTTCTCGGCTAGGACGGGACGGGAGCACAGAGGAGAGAGGAGCAAAAAACTGTCCACGCGCAGCGAGCAACCGCTGAGCCAGCGCCCCAAGCCCGAGTCCCGACACGCCTGTGCAGGAGCCCTCGGGCGGCCAGGCAGGCAGGCAGGCAGGCAGGCAGGCAGGCAGGCGGGGGAAAGAAAGGACGGGCCGGGAAGCGAGTGCCAACCGCGCACCCAGCGAGGCAGGCAGGCACACTCGCACCTACACGCGCAGAAAGCCACGCACGTAGCCCTCTCGTCGGGCCAGCCAGGTATGGGCGCACCACCCTGCGCACACGCGGAACCCTGCGCGCCCGCCTGGCTTGGAGAAGCGTCGTGCTCGGCAAGTAGGGAGCCCCGAGCCGCGCTCGAAATACGCGCACGTTTCCTCATGCACTTTTGGAGAGACACGCGCACAGCCCTTTCCTACTAAACTTGTGCAACACCCAGCCACCAATCTATTCTACAGTACATATATTATTTGTACAGCGCAGGATGAAAATGTACGACTTTGCCTGAACGCCTTCACAATTTCCGTTCCACCCAAAGCACTACATAATCTTGTGTTAATAACACAAAAGGGGGGGGGGTATTTACAAACTACAACCCCCTAGCACTCACACAGGCAAACTGCTGTACAAATAGCCATGATGTGCACAGTTCTGCAACCTAATAGTGCACAGATGCCTGATTGTGCAGTCACTTCCATCTAATATGCCCGAGCAGTTTTTCCCATAATTGTTTGTTTGTTATGTGCTGTCAAGTCACATCTGACTTATAGCAACCCTAGTTGGCTTTTAAAGAAATTGAGATATTTTAAGGGCAGTTTACCTGCGCCTGCCAGTGAGTTTCCATGGCCAAACAGTAATTTGACTATAAATCTCTTGAATCCCAGTCCATTCATTGCTCTAGTCACTGCACCACACTAGCTGTCTTTCTGTAATTGCACACATGGATATATACACACCTATATATAAGAGTCAGATATGCACGATGCCTGACTTTCTAGACATCATTAACTTGGCTTTGTATTAGACTACAGTACTCCATAGGTGTGTCTCTAATCCACAACCAGTTCAAAGAAATAAAGGAATACAACAAAAGGGAGAAAACAAGAGAGCTCTTCCAGAAGATCCAGGAAATCAAAGGAAAAATTAAGCCTAGATAAGGGATGCTGAATGGCCAGCAGGGAAGCACACTATCTGATCAGGAGAAAATAAAGAGAAATGGAAACAGTATGTAATGAAGATCTATGCAGAAGGAACAAAAGGTTGAGAGACTCATTGGAAGAGGAAGCCTATGTTGAAGAACCTGCAGTTCTAGAAAGTAAAATGAAAGCTGCTCTGAAAACATTAGGAAGTGATAAATCACCAGGGGTAGACTGAAAATGGATATAACTATTTGACAGACTGCATGTGTCAAAATCCTAACAAGAATATGTTAACAAATATGGAAAACAAAACAATGTCCTACAGACTGGAAATGTTCAATATACATTTTAATCCCTTAGAAAGGAGATGCCAAGGACTGCAATAACTGTAGGACCATTGTTTTAATTTCTCATACAAGCAAAGTGACACTCAAGGAGCAACAAATGCTTTTATCTTATATGGAGCAAGAAATGCCTGAAGTCCAATCTGGATTTTAAAAGGGAAGAGGAACTTGAGGTCCCATTGCAAATATCCCCTGGCTATTGGAGAGCACTAAAGAATTTCAGAAGATCAGCTTTATAGACTACAGCAAAGCATTTGACTGCGTAGATCATGAGAAACTATGAGTTGTTCTGGGGGGAAAAAACAGTTGTGGCTCAGCACTTGATTATCCAGATGAGTAACTTGTATTGTGGGTAAGAAGTTACTGTTAGGAAAGAATATAGAGAGACAGAATGGCTTCCTATAGGCAAAGATGTCAGACAAAGGTGCATTTCATCCCCTTATCTGTTCAGTCTGTAAGCGGAACATATCATAGGGAAAGCCAGATTGGATTCAGATGAAGAAGGAATGAAAATTGGTTGAACAAACATCCATAATTTAAGATATCTGTAGTCTTCTGTCTCCCAATAAACAGCTTTTGATACTTGTGTTTTTTTCCTGGGAATGCAAGGGGGGTTGGTGCAGCAGCACTGCTCACCTTGGAAACCTCATGAGCTGAATCCACATGAATCCATGAGCTGAATCCACATGAGGTGCATCTAGGTGATGTCTGTCCCAACTCCTACTACTGTAATTAAATGGGTCTGCTATTCAATGGATATATATATATACATAAATGGGGTTGGTTTGGAAGATGGACAGAGAGGTGCATCTAGGTGATGTCTGTCCCAACTCCTACTACTGTAATTAAATGGGTCTGCTATTCAATGGATATATATATATACATAAATGGGGTTCAAGTAATATGGAAGATCATTTGTGACTATCAAATGAGAATTACATATGTAATAAAAAGTATTAGAATTGTATTAGAAAAAGTATAAAAGGGACTGAAATGTATTCAAAGTGTCTCAAGGGTGTAATCTAAGTAATCTTTATCACAGCCTTAAAGACTAGGTCTGATATAACCATACAGTATTGCTAGTGTGGAGTGGTTTTGGTTTGCTTAGGGCATACACCGTTCATAATCAGGGTAGGGGTGCCCTCGTCCCAATCCACAACCTGTCCCTGGTTTAAGGCCACCTAGTGAGCTCACAGCTAGGAGCAAGATTTGAACCAAGGACTGGCCAGGCCAAACTTTTGCTATAAATGTTCTGCAGGCTCATTGAATCAGTGGAATTTATGGAGGAGTTAACTTACCAAATCCTCCCTGATTCAATGGGCCTACTTGAGTTATGATTTACTACACTAAGCACCAGGATTTCAGCCAGTAGAACAAAACTTTGCCAAAGGCAAATCAAAAGAGTAGAAAACGAGAGATACCTGACTAGGCAGTAGCAGTGGTGTGGTCTTTCTGTTAACCACAGTCTGAATGTGAAACAACAAGACACCTTGGATTGCATTACAGAAGGGTGATGCTTAAAGTATGAAGTAATTGCTCTGCTTCTCTCAATAATGCTCATACCTCTGGCTCTGAACTTGCAAAGTTCAGGTCATTCTATTGTGCAATGCTCTGGTTAATTGTGAGAAAGAATTTCCAGTGAAAATCTGTGACTAAAACTCAACATATAAAGGTGTTTTTCTTTTTAAAAAATCAGACCATGGGTCCATCTAGCCCAGTATTTTCAACGAGCAGTGGTTCTCCAGCACTGCAGGCTCCATGATTCCCTCACAAATGTTAATGTGGGATTTGGGGCGGCTTTTGCATGGAAGGATCAGCATATGGAAGGGGAGTGTTTAATTCTTTCCCTACCCATGCACCCATTCTCCCTTTGAACATCCCCCTTCCAGATTTTCACAGTCTGAAACCAGGCCTGCATAATTGGTGGGTAAGTTGTGTGGGTGTTAAGCATCTTTTCACCCACTAATGTTTCCACAAATCAAACCTTGGAAGTAATGAGTTATGACCAACATAGGTAGTTATAATAAGTTACTCTTTTGTAAGAAGAATGAAACAAAGTTATATTTCAGAAGTAATATGAAAAGTGCGAACAACGATACCTGTTGTAAGAAGTAATATTTTCTAGTTACTTTTTAAGGTTACCTTTCAAGGCCATTTTAGTGGAGCTTTCCAAGTGTTATGTCATTTTCTTATCAATCCTGATGCTTTGGGTTTTAAAGAAAGTAACAGAAAGCCATGAGAATAAGAGACTAGCTGGATAGTTCGGCAAGGGTGTGACTACACAACAGGAAAAAAAGCAAATGGATTCACTGTGGTGTTGCAAGTAGAAAGTCAGGTACAGTGGTGCCCTGCATAGCGACGTTAATCTGTTCCGGATTAATTGTCACTATCCGGAAACATCGCTAAACAGAACTAAAAACCCCATAGAACGCATTAAACTTTGTTTAATGCGTTCCTATGGGGCCCAAACTCACTGTTCAGCGAAGATCCTCCATAGCGGCGCCATTTTTGCTGCCTCGGCAAGCGAGGGCAGCGTGTGTGAAAATGCTTGTGGCGGCCATTTTGGGCACCCGGCGGCCATTTTGGAACCACTGATCAGCTGTTCTAAAAACATCGCAATGCGAAGATCGGTAAGCGAAATGCTTACCAATCATCGCAATGCGATGTTTGCCCATTCAGAACATCACAATGCGATCACATTAGCGATCCCAAAAAATAGATCACTATGCGGATTCGTCGTTAAACGGTGTGCTCGTTATGCGAGGCACCACAGTATCCCAGGATTAATTCACTTCAGCCATCTTCATAGGAGTTCGCAGAGAGAGGAGAAGAAATTAGCACTCAAAAGCTCTGTTTGCAGCTTGTTAAGGTAGATCCGCTCTGCTCTGGATGTCCAGATTTGCAAGAGGCACATTAACAGCAGAGGTACAGTATCTTAACAAGCTGCAAGCCAAGCTGATTGATTAATAACTTCCTCCCCTTTCTTCACTGATT